GAATGGTTGGGTGGTCTTTGGTTCTGCATTTCTGAAAGTGTCAGGGGCATGTAAGTCAGGTAGGGTTCCCAAATAAGAGTGTGAGGTGTCCCTTTATTCTGGAAACAGCATCATGTTTCCCATTGTCCTGGTAAATAGGCTTAGTCAATTGTGTATTGTGCTGTCTGCAGCTGGGTCCTTTGTCCAGATATTTTGGCCAATGCTTGGCTTAATTTCCCAGCATGCTTTATTATCCAATTCTGCCATTTTGAATGGCCCATCTGGCTACAGTAAGTATTGATATTGTGTCACCACAATCTTACTAGGGATAGGGCTGCTCTCTCATTAGAGAGAGACGACTGGTAGTGATTTAACCTGAGGACTACCATACCTCAAGTGAGGGGAGGGATTGAGAAGGAGAGTCCTTTATGGTAACCTCAGGTGGTGCGGGAATTGAATCCACACCTTTGGCTTCATACTGCTTCGCAAACCAACCATCCAGCCAACTGAGCTAAACGGATCATTGAGCTGGTAAGTGTGATTAGAATAGATGGCTAGTTTGTTCAGCTGGCACAGATATTATGGTCTAAACGGCCCTTTTCTATGCTGTAATTTTAAAAATATATTTCTTTGGTTCCATAAGGCTAGAACTGGAAGAAAGCAAGAGTTTGCAGAGGAGATTGCAGATATGAGGTATTGAGGAAGATTTGAACAAAGTTTCAGATGAGTTTCAGTTTAGAGTGTGTGAAGGAAAAAAATCTGACTGAGAGACCATTGTATTGTTGAATTTGAAATCAGAAAAGGCATGGATAAGTATTGCAGCTGCAGATGGTTTGAGGTTGACACAAACACAGGCAATATTATGGAAGTGATGGAGAAGAAATAATGTTGAATGTCCAGCTCAGGATCAAATAGGACTTTAGCAGATTAACAGATCACCTGAGTAGTTCAGCTTCCAGTTGATCTGACATGCTTTTTGTGGAATCTTGTTGTGTTTATTCACATGGATACATCAGATACAGAAAGTGATTAGCTTTCCAATGGATGAGATAAGTTGATGTATGCATGTTATATCCCGTCAATCTTTGACTTTTTGTCTTGCATTTTGCAGTTAAGCTTAATTACATTTTGTGCTTCTTTAATAAGTAATTAAGTTCTTTCCACAGACCTTTTTTCAAGGTCCATATTTAGCACAACATTTGTTAATTGTCACAGTGCCTCATCTATACCAAGTTCATCAATTTTTCACCTCTTTGATTCACTTGTCAATCTCTTCTGGTATTGCAAAATAGAAGTTTAATAAGTCAGTTTGTAAATGTCCATGATGTTTAATCAAATATGATTTGCACCTGCAAGATGTAAAATTTATCAGAACTTGGCAAAATTGCTAAATCAAACATTGTATCCATAGGTTTCTCAACTACATCTCACTTAATAACATAACAAAAAAGCAACAAGTAAGAGAATTATTTCAGAACTAAGTACTCAGCCCATCATCTGTTTGAAGTAATTATTTTTGTACAATGTTTCTAATTTGTGGAACTTAACCAATGGGGAGTACTTTTCCTTATTCAGTCATTTCATAACCACCGCCATGCTAGGCCATAGCACTGACGTCCAGTGAAGTCAATGAAGCTGTTCTAAAGAATGAGTACACCAAAAGCTTTAAATAAAATGTAGGATGCCTCATTAATGATAGCAGGTACACTACTGCCATAAGTTATTTGATTAAATGTAGAATACCATATACAATAAGTACTCTAAGCATTGTATATTATTCTATGTGCTTCCATTGAGTCATCTTTTGCTCTGTGTATGACTTTGGAATTTCAGCATTTTGAGCATTTTATCAAAAACTTTGAAAGAATATTGCTAGTAATTAGAATATGTTGCAATGTATTTCAAATATTTAACATAGTCTTAGATTGCTTAAAACCTGAACAATTACTGCATGCGCCATTGGTCTACTCCGTCAACCGTCAGGAAAGTGTGATTGACAGTGCTATGAATCAGCACTTACTTTGGCAACAACTTGCTCCCTGGCACTTATTTTGGGTTCCACAAGGGTCACTCAGATCCTGACCTCATTATTTATTCCAAACCTGAACAAAAGCCCTGAGCTCCAATGGTGAAGTGAGAGTGATTACTGTTTCAATAAAGCTGCATTTAACTAAGTCTGGCTTCAAGGAACCAGAGCAAAATTGAAAGCAATTTGATTCGAGGGGTGTGAGGAATGTGTGTCAGTGGCAGAGTCATATCTCGCAGAAAGGAATGTGGCTGTGGTTGTTGAAGACCAGCTTGAGGACTTCACTGCAGGAGTTCCTCAGGGTAGTGCCCTAAAGCTGAAGATCTGCAGCTGCTTTATTTGTAACCTTCCTCGAACATGATCAAAAGTGTTAAGATCACTAATTATTAGAGTTCAGTACCATTCCCAACCCCTGAGATACTGAAACAGTTCATGCCTCTATACGGCAAGACTTGAAAATTCGACATGATATATAGCAAGTAACATTCATAGGATCAAAAGGAGGGAGACAAACACTAAACTACAAGCAGTTAGCTTAACATCTATCGTAGCAAAAATGACAGAAGCTATTATTAAAGAAGATAAAGGAAGGCACTGGAATAAGATACAGAAACAGTCCATGTACCAACACAGCAAATCCTGGGTTTGAGCTGATAAGTGGCAAGTAACATTCACACTATAAAAATGCCAAGCAATAACCAACTCTAACAAGCGAGTCTAACCATCACCCTTGACATTCAATAGTGATACCATCGCTGAATCCATCACTGTACCATTCCTTCACTATCACTTGGTCAAAATCCTGAAAATCACTTCCTCACAGTACTGTGGATGTACCTACATGTCTTTGACTACAGAATTTCAAGAAAAGGGTCCACCACCTTCTTTGAAGACCAATAAATTGCAATGCAATATTCCAAGGACAATTAAAAAAAACTTCAATGTAAATTTTGGCAAAGTTCTCAGTTTGGATTTTTATTTCCCATATCAAAGACCTGGCTGAAATGGAAGTTTCTTTGGCAAAGAATTAAAATGAAAACAAGTGAATTGTAAAGAATCACATAGCCTACTTTTACTAATTTGTAAGATACCAGATTTACTTGCTGATTTACGTGTTCTTTTCTGGTCTTAATCATAGGAGAATGTGTCTTTCAGTCTAACGATGTATTTTTCTACTTGCTGCCTGAAGCACAAGAAAAGTGTGTCTTGTGGAATCTGAATTATACCTGTCGTGATATTCTCTCAATGATTTTCATTCTGTAGGTACCATTGCCTAAAACATGGCTACATGTCCACAGCACAGGATATGAATTACAGATACAGGCTTTCTGTAAAAGTTGCCAGAAAAAATGACATTTTGAATATTACCGTCTTTGGGAGCTGTCTTGAACCCTATTTTGGAGAAACAGCAGGATGTCTACAGAGGTAAAATTTTATAAAATTTTAGATGGCTTGGTAACACCATCAGTCCTGCTTATAAGATTTAACAGTTCATTAAAGAACATTCTGTTATTGAAGTATAATGATGATATTCCTGTAGTTATTTCTTTAAATAAAAACACAGCCTAAAGTATTCTGAATGCTGAAAAATAAAATATAACCTGTATCTTCCACCCCTTCCCTGGGATCAGGTAAGGAGGAAATTACAACATCATTTCAAAATACATGTTAGATTCATAGCCAAGAAACTGGTTGAATCCTAATACACAGAATATTTAGTGGATAACTTTCTATTCCATCTATGAAACAAAGCTTATGTAGGCACGGGAGTAGGTCATTAAGCTCATTGAACATGCTGCACTATTAAGTTAGATCATAGTTAGTCATCTACTTCAATGCCTCTTTCCTGTGCTATCTGCATATTCCTTGATGCCAGCAATTCCCATAAATCTAGTCTTTTCTGTCTTGAGCATGCTCAATGATTGAGCTTGCACAGCCCCATAAAGTAGAGATTTCCAATGATTCACCACCCTCTAAGTGAAGAAATTCCTCCTCATCTTGGTCTTAAATGGCCTGCCTGTTTTCCTGAGTTTATATCTTCAGATCTAACATCACCAGCCCAGAGGAAATATTCTATCTACTTTCATTCTGTCACGCCCTGTAAGAATTTAATAAATTTCATTCGTTATGGCACTAAGAATACAGACCTAGTCTCCTCATAAGACTATCCCATCATCCTGGGGATTAATCTGGTGTACCTTTTGTCACTCTCGTTCAATGGCAATTTATCCTCCTTTAGATAAGGGGACCAAATTGTTCACCGTACTCCAGTTGAAGTCTCACCAAGGCTTTACACAACTAGAACATGAGATCATTAATCCTGTGCTCAAACCCCCTTGCAATGAAGGTAGACCTACCATTTGCCTTTCTAAATAATAATACAATTATCTTAGTATCCATAGTTGAAACTGGCATCACAAACATGAAGTTGTAGTTTTCATATTGAACATTATGAAATTAGTCATTTGAACCTCTTTGATCAGGAAGCTTTTTAAATAGTGTTTCTTTCATACTGTGCTTAGCCAGATTAATCACTGAAAACTTATTTAATCTCATGAAGTCAGCATAATACTAATATTTGGCAAGTAAACTATGAGGTTTCAGCATATAGCAAATTTTTTTTTTTTAAATCATTCGTTGAATTTGAATGATTCAAGTTCCACAAAAAGTGTTCTTTTTTCTTTAACGGTATGTTGCCTGTATCAGTCTGCAATTATTTTTACTAAGGTCGCCAACACTTTGGATTTTACTAATGACTTATGCTTGGAGTAAGTAACAGTTAGCTGCTGGTATACTGACCAGCTGATGATGTAGTCACATGGTCCAGTGTGTAGTGTTAGTGCATTGATGAATTGATGCTGTGATTTCAAAATGCTAATATGCTCACTTTACCAGCTTACCACTCCTAAATGCATCAAGGTTTTTGTTTAAATAGATTTTAAAGACCTGATTCATGGCAGATTTTGCATTTACCATTGTGAATGTGTTTGAGAAGTGACCTGTGATGAAATAACAACCTTTCAAAATAAGCACAATTTCACCCAAAGTGGAAACACTATCTCTTGTATTTAAAAACACCAATGATCTTGATTATTCAGAATTTCTTTGAGTACCCATGTAGTACCATCTAATACCCATTTAAAATATAACTGAATGCTCTGAACCATCTTTATTAGTTTTGAATGAAATGAATGATTGTGTGTGTACAAGTTCAATGGAATTAATATGCCAAACCTCAATAATCCAAATTGCAACTCAAAAAGTAGTGAATAAAAAAGTGCCTTGCTATCATCAAGACAACAAACCCGCATATTATCAGTAACTCTTCATAGCTGAACTATAATACATCAATATTAATGAATAGTTCTTCAGCAGCAGAACTTCATATCATTTATTGAAAGGGGAATTGAATACAAAAGTGGGGAGGTTGTGATTCAGTTATATGGGGTGTTTGCATGATTAAGTATAGAGTATCATGTAGATTTTTGTTCTCCTTATTTAAAGAAGGATGTAAATGCAGTGGATACTGTTCAGAGAATGTTTACTAAATTAATCCCTGGAATGGCTGGGTTGTCTCCTGAGAAAAGTTTGGACAAGCTAGGCTTGTAGTTGTTGGAATTTAGAAGAGTAAGAGGTGACTTAACTGACAGGTATCTGACTTTGATCAAAGGATGGCTCCTCATGTGGGAGCATGTCAAATTAGTGGTAACCACTTCAAAATCAGGCATTGCCTATTTAAAATGGATGAGCCTTTTCTTACATAGATTCATGATTCTCTGGAACTCTCTTCCTGAAAAGGTGGTGGAAGCAGAGTCCTTGAATATTTTTAAGGCAGAGTTGGATAGATTACAGATGAGCAAAGATGTCAAAGCTTATTTGGGTAGGTGGGAAAGTAGAGTAATCAGATCAACCATGATCTTAATAAATGACGCTGAGTGCTCTTAATTCATATATTCTCATAACACGAGTCATGAACTTGGAGAGGACTTTGACTTCGACTTCATGCCCAGAGCCCCACTGGTATTCTCCTAAAGGCCGTTGGACACGTTCCCTCCTTTGATGTGTAGCCCTTGTTCTGCGAGGAAATTGAAGAGGAATGCGTGTCAGAAAAAGGAGTATGAGAGATGACTGGTCAAGTACAACCAACCAGCTTAAGTGAATGTGTGAACATGTGAATTAGGGATCTTTTCGCTGGCATAGTAGTTAGTGATTGCCACTTGCTACAATCAATGAATGGCATAGTCAGCACAACAGTGTGTAAAGCAGTATAGAAACATGAACATAGCTGTATATTTATAAAGTGAAACATCTAGTAAACTTCCAAAACTGAAGTACTGGGAATGCTAGATATCCGAAATAACAATAGAAATTGCTGGACATAATCAGCAGGTCCGCTAGCACTTGAGGATAGAGAAACAGAATTAACATTCCAAATGTGAGCTTTCTTAAGATCTGATAAAAAGTCACAACCTGAAATCAACTCTGAGATAATAGGAACTGCCGTTGCTGGAGAATCTGAGATAACAAGGTGTAGAGCTGGATGAACACAGCAGGCCAAGCAGCATCAGAGGAGCAGGAAAACTGATGTTTTGGGTCTGAACCCTCCTTC